GGCACCTGGAAGGGCTTCCAATTTGGAGGATTTACTTCCAGAAGCTGCCAAAATCCCCAGGAATGGCATGGTCTAGGGAGAAGTTCACATGGTCTGGAAGGAAGAGAACGTTCTGGAGTTTTCCTGAATATTCCATTCCCAGGTGGATAAATTTTGAACACCCCCATTACTCCTAGACCCCCGAAACCAAAGCTGGCGTTCCTCCATCGCTCAGCTTTGTTTGACGTGTCCATCTGTCAAACGGCACTAGGAAAGCGGACTCACCTGTACATGTGATGTCCAGGCAGTAGATGCCCTCTGGGGTGCAAATGCTGGAGGAGAGGGCAAGAAAGGCATCAGCGCCTGCCGGGGAGTTGCCAGCAGGGCCACCCTGAACCTCTCCCTATGGCTGCAGCCACATCCAGAGACCCCAGCCAGGGCTCCCCGCCTGCAAAGCCCTCCCATCTTGGAGAAGTCCACCCAGCTCCAGGTGAGGCTGAGGAGCGGGTCCCGGGAGGTCACTCACCATTGCTGGCACTCCCCCAGGAGCCAGGTGCTGCCCAGGCTGGCCTCCTGGCCCTCATGCAGGCACAGAGGGGGGCAGGAGTCCAGGGCACAGGGGTGGGTCTGCACCTGCTCCTTCAGGCACTCGGGAGTCCATGAGCCAGAGGTGGGGGTCCTGTGTGGGGAGGGGGAGAGGAGGTGGTACTTAAAGGTAAAAGACGGGGATGGGGGGGAGAAGCAGGCAACAGAAGGGGAGGACAAAGCCAACGGGGTCCACTGACACTGAGTAATCAGCCAAGAAGAAACGTTCTGATTTTCCCTTCGTGTCCTGCCTCTCACACCAGCCAGTGGTGCCTCCAGCCAGGACAAGCTTCCATTTCTCTAACCGTTCAAGCTGCCGGCTCTCTCCGTACTCGGGGAGCCCAAATTCCCTGTTAACAATGCCCCGGGCACATTCAAAAAGCACCTGCAAACCATCTTCTAATCCCTACCTGAAAATCCCACATCAGGTCTGGCCAACTGCTGGCCCAGCCTGGCAGATCCACCCCACTGCCTCTGCCTACAAGAGCCCCCTCTAGCCCTGTAGATTCTCCCCTCCCCAGTCCGGGGGCCTTGGGGCCCTGTCCTCTTCCTCCACAGAGAGGTTCGAGCAGTGGGTTGCTGCCTGAACCAAAAGCATTTCTTCCCCACCATGGTTCTCAGAGTACTCTTTAACGAGATTTGTTGAGAGAAAAGGGGTGGCGTTGCAAGAATTCCAGCAACTAAAACTCTTTCCATTTACAACTCATTTATGCCCATGTACTTTGGGTGGAGACTTTCTGATTCCCTGACAGCTGTCCTAGGGTCTGGCGGGGAGGTGGGTCTTCTCGCTGGAGGGTGGAGGAGCTTTACGGCTGGGGGGTCATGTCCTGTCTCTTGAACTCCCTCTGTCTGGGGTCAGCTCTCACAGAGGGGGCCCTGCCCTCTGGCCTCTCAGAGTGCAGCCCTTGGTGTGGAAAAACATCTGGCCCCTGAGCCCCGGGAGGCCCCATTCTGGGACAGCTGCCAGCTGCGGAGGCAAAGGGCACCTGGGCCACCAAGGCCAGCACCTGCCTTACCTGAAGCGGGTGCGCAGGCCACTTCCGCAGGTGATGCTACACTGGGACCAGCTGGACCAGAGGCTCCAGGCACACTCGGGGGGCAGGCAGGTGTGGTTGGTGCAGAGCAGCCTCCCTCCGGCGGCACAGGTGCAGCTGTTGCAGCCGTCCTCGTAGTGGCTGCCTGGCGCCCAACTGTGCCCCTGGGCATCAGTGCACTCGCAGTGGGCGAGGGCAACGCAGGCGCCGTCCTGCTCCAGCGTGCCTGGGGAGGGACCCAGAGAAGCAGGGAAGGTGACTCTGGACCCTGGCCTGAACGGGCCTCGACTGCCTGGTTCAGCCACCTTCTTCTGGCCGGACGCCCCCCCTCGCCAGCCCTGGATGAAAGATGGAGGCTTGGCAGTGGGGAGACTCGGGCTCAAGCCCGCCCTCCGCCCAGCAGGACACCGAAGTGACTATGGGGCAGGCCTCTCTCAGCCCAAAATACTCCACAGGGTTGTCGTTGGGAAAAAAACTGGGGGAGCCTGTGTGCTACATACGCCTCCTTGAACTTGGGGGAAAAGCTGGGAGAGAAAACCAGCCGATGAATAAATAAGAGAGACCCCCGGGCATTTGCTGGGTCCTCTGAGAACTGGAATCTGAATCCTCACCTTAATTCCTGGCCTTGCAAGAATTAAGGCTAAGGACCCAATAAATAAATCCTGCCTGTTAAAGGAGCCGATCAGCGATTTCAGGCGGCATGAAGGGACTCCAGAGGGGCCGAAGTCCAGTTCGAAAAGTTTTCGGTCACATCGCTCAGACAAAACAGATGAGAGCAAACGACAACAAGGTGCCAATCAAGCTGGGCCTCTCCCTGGTTTGGGCGCTCTCCCTCTGCCCGGGACCAAGGTTTCCCTCCTGGGGGCCCTGACAGCCAGGCTTTGGAGGCTGACCCCGATGGCTGAAGCAGGAGGAGCGGGCTTCCCTGATGCCTCTAGGGGCAGGAGAGCTTCGTCTGCACAGTCCCCTGGCCACAGCAGACCTCCAAAGGGATCCTAAAGGGGGCAGGCGTGCCACTCGCGCACTTTTTCCACCTGCGGGGGAAGCAGCCGTGGACCCACCAAAGCCCCCTCACCCTCAGGGCAGCGACAGCCAGGCTCGCAGGCTTCCTTCTCCTGGCACACGATGCCTTCCTGGAGGTCCCAGCAATGCCGGGGGCACCTGTTGGCACACCCCACCCAGTGCATCATGGGGGGGCAGGTCTCCTCTGCAGAAAGAGAGCGCTTGTTACAAGCAGAGGTCTGGAAAAGCGGCAGGCGTGGCCGGACCCTGGCCCCACCCGGAGGACCGCCCCTCCTTCCCTCCACGTACCGCAGGGCTGGGGGTTGCAGACGCGCACGTGGTATTTCTCGCCAGGGCAGTGGCGCCCTCCGTTCTTGGGGGGTGGGCTGGTGCAAGTCCTTGTGCGGGCGGAGCGCCCCCCCCCACAGGTGCGGTCGCACCAGGACCAGGGGCTCCACTTGGACCAGGCCCCGTCCACTGCAGCAGAGACACAAGGCAGTGAAGACCCACACAGACCCTGGTCAGTTATGGGTCAGCTTCGGGGCTGTTCTCTCCCTCTTTCCCAGCCTCCCCACACCCTCTGTGATCCTGCTTCTGCCCAGGGATGGCTTTTTCACAGGCCAAACCCAGTTCACCTGTGGAACTCACTGCCACAGGAATGAGTGAATTTGGATGAGTGCATAGAAGCATAGAAGGGGGTTCTTCTCCTCCTGCAGCAGCTTTGCCTATGAACTCCCCCAGGGGAAGCCCCCCCGGGCCCCCTTCACCTAAGCCTCACCACTCCCGGGCTGGGGAAGCTACTCCCAGGAAGACTGAGGCCCCTCAGGGCAGGCAAAACATACCTTTGCAGGCCTGAAGGTTGCAGAAGCGCCTCTCCAGGTTGGCAGTCAGGATGTCTTGGCACCAGTGCCCTCCTTGCCCAGGGGGGTGGTAGGTGCGCAGGCGCTGCTGCTGCCCGACCCCACAGCTGCGGGAACACTCGCTCCAGAGGGACCAGGGGTTCCATGTACAGTTCAGGCCTAGGCACGCCTTGCCCTCACACACGGGGGTCTCTGGGGGGCACCAGGGAGAGAAAAGGTTCTGGGCATGCCTCGGAGAGGCTCAGGGAAGAATGCCAGGAGAGGGGAGGGGGCTTTGCCCTGCCTGGAAGCTCCTGAGGCAAGGTGGGGGAGAGGGCTGCCCCTCGACTTCCGCATCCCTAAACTCCAGCCCCACCGCCACTGCTGAGCCAAGTAGCTGGACAGGTGGTGTTCAGTCATGGGAGTGGGTCAACAGAGATTTATTTATTTTCCAAAAATATTCCTGCCTCCTTCTCCAGGAGGGCAGGGGTGTGCATGGGGGTGGGCGTGGCTTTTCTGCCTCCCCCGCCACCTTTTGCCATCTTTCCTGCTTCCCTTACATCAGCGTTTCTCAACCTTGGGAACTTTAAGATGTGTGGACTTCAGCTCCCAGAATTCCCCAGCCAGCCATGGTGGTTGGGGAATTCTGGGAGCTGAAGT